TGTGATTTTCTCGGGATTAAAGTTGAAAAATATGATCAGGGTTGAATGCTTATTAAAGTCTGATAGAAATAAATGAGTTTTGATGGGGGCCGCAAAATGGCCTTATCCGCCCTTGTCCTTTTACTGAAAAGCTTCGATCCGACACGGAAGCTGTCACTAGAAAGTCAATGTCTCGCTTAAAGCACTTGAAGAATACAGATTCTCTAAATGTTTTTATTGTCTAATACTCCTCTGATATTACAATAGGTATGAGTTCAAATATTTTCAATCATTTGAACATCCTCCTTCGAGGGTATTTGGTTCACAACTGAGAAAAAATGAACGTTTCTTTTAAAAAGAATACCTTGAAATGTATTCTATTGTCGAGGAAAAAATAGTCTGATTCACAAAAACCTTCAACATAATCTCCACACGCTTAGAATGTATATCGAGAACGGATGCGCTTTCTTCCTAAATAAAGACCTGTATATTGATCACGATCTACGATAAAGTCTTGTGTTATAAAAATAAAATGAAGATATCAGGTTTTTTAATTGTATTACTATGTTTTGTATACTCAATATACAAAGTAGTTTCAAGTAATCAATGTGATATGCCGATATGTTCATTTTAAGTGAAATAAAAAGAAGTAAAAGAAGAGCATCTTTTTTTCTATGTTTCACATTTTCTTTTAATATTGATTTTTTCAAGCAGGTTTTTTTTCATTTTCCATGTCGGAAAAAAATCTGCTTTTCGTTTTGTTTCGTGAAAAGTCAAATCTTCACATTCCAGTTTTAGTTTTTTGAATAGTTATTATTAATATCTTTCAGCTATAGTTACTTATCAATCAACTCAACTGATCGCCTTGCATTTACCTCAATTGAAGAGTCTCTGTATGAATTGAACATGTGAAATATTTCATCTAGTTGAAGTCGCACCCAATCTCAGACATCTAAAAATTGATTACACTTGCATAAATACTGTGCTCAATGATGCAGCTACATGTGAATTATTGCAGAAGCGAATTGTACACCTTGAAATTATCCATATTCAAGAAGTTGACTCGATTGAATTGGACACCATTGCACGAAAATTTAATCATCTTTGTGATGTTGATCTACTCTTAGAAGATCCATCAATTATAATTGATTCACTTATTCTACGAGTAATTTCATTGTGGAGAGATAAAAACCTTCGTAGTTTTGGCATTAAAGGTTCATTAACAAATGAAGCGAGTCAGAATCTTTGTCAATGGCTGATTGATCATAGTCATTTGCGGCAAGAAGATTCTTTTGCTGTTGAATACAAGAAAAATTGGATTATTATATGGCTTCAATGAACTTATGGCACGGAAATTCGTTGTCATTTATCAAACAAGAAAATATTATTGACGATCAAACAAAAACAGTAAACTTATTCCATATCACATTGACAAAAGTTTTTTCTTTCATTCCTTTAGATATGTGCGTTTTTTTTGTCTATATTTCGTAATCGTTCATAGTTTTATTTCGCGAGAAGATTTGTGGTAATTCCCAAAGTTTCGAATCTTTTTGTTAACAATATCTATTAAACTAGAGAATAGTTTTTATAACTATCAAAGAAAAACGAACAAATTCAATTCGATAGCTAAGAAAAACAAAAAATTCTAAATCTGCTTCAATCTAATTGATCAAGTATAGAAATGTTGTTGTTTTATTTGTCAAACCATTTGATATAGTGTCGTTTTGAGGGAAATCCATGGATGTATGCTTTGTTCAAGACAGTTTTGAGCCAACGATAAGTGAAATACAACCGATTGGAGATGACGTTAATCAATCTTGAAATGCGAGAAATATTACGAATTCAATGTCTAACAAACATTCGATCGATATTAGAGAGGCATCGATAAAGTACTGATGGTTATGATAATAAGAAACATCACACACTCTTTCATTTCTCTTGAAAGTAAAGAGATTTAATTTTGAGTTGAACTTGAAGCTATGCGGGTCATTTGCGTCAGTATGAAATGCAACTTACTAATTTAACTAGAATGACAAAATTCACTTGGCAAAATTTCATTCAATGCTGAACAGAACCAATGACTAGAAGTCATTGTTTCATTTCTCAACAACAGTCAATCTGATTAATTGTTGATTTTATTAAAGAGTCTTTAATCGAAATTCGATGTCTGTACTCCCGCCTACATTCATCACAGATGTGAGTCTTTCTTGAATCGTATCTTCAAAAATATATGCGTGTTCTATCATGGAAATTCATCACAACGTGAATCAAAACTATGTGAGAAGATCAATCAACAAACAATATAAATTTCATTGTATTGAAGAAATCGATCTGATAAAAATGTGACATTTGTTGTTCAAGTTTATCGTTACACGGCAAGAACACAACTGGCAAGCGAAGAAGAATTCTTCTTTGAAGATGTGCATTTGTCTTAATCGAGTTCCATTTAAAAACATTGACTGCTTTTAGTCCATTGGTATTCATACTGAAATTTGATTGCATAAAACTGAATTCAATTTGACATCACCAACTGAGAGTCAATTCCATAATTTTTGTGTTATCGTTTAAAATTAACAAAATACAGTTCGAGAACAAATCATCAGTCATGTCAATATTTATAACAGTCGAATTCTAGTTATTGAAACATAAATTACCAAAATTGTTTATTCTTCAGATTGATAAATTTCGGTACCTATCGTACAGTACAGTATACGGCTTACAACTCGATCTTATACAATATATTTGTACCCGCGTAGGTGAAAAAAGAAGTCAAGAATGTTGGATGGTGGAGTTAAATAAGAAATTTCAATGATTACAGTGCAATAAGCCATCAAAGTCGAATCTCTGATTATCTAGACCAGAAAAGTACCCTTATAGTGCCCTAAATTGAAATGCTATAATGCCACGTGAAAATCATCCTAATGAATCATACTGATGCCGTGCAAAAGAAGAAAATGAAGAATGTGTTGTCTCATAGTTCTTGTTGATCGATCGACTTGTCTGGTCATTCGATCGTCAATGTTCACATGAGTAAACAATTGAAAACCAAGAAACAATCATGCTATACGAATGATTTTCTTTCAACATGTTCAACTTCGAATTTTCGTTAACAATGATTTGAACTATTGTGATAATTCTATTTTGAAAATTATCTACCAAATGAAATTGATTTTTTTAAAGCATTTCCTTTGTCATAGATCGCATCTGCCTATGACGTAATCGGATTTCGATTTTTTAGGTATTATTATATAATCGACTGACAAATCTGCAAAAAAAAAGAGAAGTGAGCAAATTACTATGGTTCAATATGATACAAGTAGGACTCTATTTCAGTTGTTTTTTTGTGCTCGATGAATCTTTTAAGTCTAAAACATGAAGGTATGTTGACAGTATTTTCAACCTACACTATTATCATTTATTGAGTCTTTTAGATATTTTCTTCTTCTTTTGTATGAAATGACTAACTAGTTCAAAAAAAAAGCTTTTTTGCATGCGCCAATACAGCACTGTTTATCGTTTTCTTTTTTGTTGAGATTTCAATTAGGGTCAACAAAACACCATCGGCTTCTTCTCTGTTTGCTGTTTTCCTCCCCTATGAACAGCAGCAATAACCAGTCGAGCGACTTCAACAACAAGTTAAAGAATTGAAAAACGGTAAACTGGGATATTTTTATTATCATTGAGTCAATATATGTTTGCTATCATTTATGTTTTCGCGTTTATGCCTTTCATTCTTTTTAGTGATCAGCGCCACCGTGCTCATGTCGATGGTTGTGGTAGTATTTATTAAAAAGTATTTCACATTTTTTCATTTCATTTCTTCAGTCGGAATAACGTGTAATAAAGATAGTTATCTTTATGTTAGAATTTTTTTTATTAATCGATAATATGACGAAGTTCGTAACTTAAATCCTCACTTCCTGTGAGACCATTCAATAAATCCCAAATTTCGATTTTTTTTTCGGAATAAATGTAATAAAATAAAGAGTATCTTAGTGGAAACACAATAAATATAAAACTATATCGAAGAAAATACACCTGTCAATGCACATTATAATCGCAACCTTTACTCGTTGATGAAATAATATTATAATAAATACGCTATCAAAAAGTCAAGAACACTCTCTTAACTCTTGTCGACTATTTGAATAGTAGTATACTGCAAATTAAATTCAATTGAAATAGTATCGGTTGGAGTGTTTGATTATATTGTAATTTGTAAAGAAAAATCTGTAGAAGAGTCAAACATCAAATATGTCCGTATCTGATATCAAAAACAGCTATAAAGTACAAAAATAAATTAAAGGTCTCATATTTTTTATCTATTTCAATTGTTAGGTATTACTGTCTCTTAATCCATTTCTCAATATACACTAATACTTCTTTTCAATTAATTGGAAATTAACTCTTCTATTTGCAACATACTTCTGAATAACAAAAAATCGATGCGCAAAAATCTTATTTCGTTATCATTCTCATGTTGCACTTATTCGCTTTTCTTTTCTTCATTGTCTTTGTCAGCAACATTTCTTCCAGTGCAAGTTGGAATCCATCACAGTTTTCTTACAATCCTGGTCCTGATTATCAGTTAGTCTGGCAAGATGATTTCGAAAATGTAGGTTCCGTCAAAGGAACTATCAATGGAGCACCTGCCTATGCACCCAATCCGAAAAACTGGGTTTTAAAAACCGGTAATATCAATGGAGGTTTACAGAATTACACAGATTTAATTGGAAATGCCTATATACAAAATGGTCAATTGACAATAGTAGCAATAAAAGAAGGGTATTTGTCAGCTATGCTTTCAAGTGTTAATCTTCAACAATTTACTTTCGGAAAATTTGCAGCTAAAATTCGTTTACCTTACTCAAAAGGTATATGGCCGGCCTGGTGGTTAGTAGGAAATGCTTGGGATAAGTACAAACTCTACTGGCCAACAGTTGGCGAGATTGATATTTTGGAGATGGTTGGAGGTAATGTATGGGGACAGCCAGGTGATCAGGTTGCACATGGGACTGTTCATTGGAACAATGCATCAAATGCAATGAGTCCTTTATATCATGCTGCCATTGGACAAACGTTCAAAACACCCGATGGATCAAAGCTCCACGATCATAGTCTTGTTTATTGGAGTGAATGGACTCCAACCAATATAAAAATCGGCATCAATGAAGTTATCTACTTCCAGTTCAATGCAACAAATATTCCAGAATCAATTAATCTAGTAAATGCTTTCAATGGAATGTGGCCTTATTACATGATCCTGAATATAGCAATTGGTGGATCATGGCCTGGATCACCTGATAATTCAACTGTTTGGCCTCAACAAATGGTTGTTGATTGGGTACGAGTTGATCAATTAAAAAAATAGAACACTGGAAAATGAAAAGAAATCATCATTTTCTAGTTTAATTGGATATTGCTATGGCCTGCATATTTTCCAGATACAGTCATAAAGATTTTTCTTGCTAATATATAGGATAATACATATGCACTTACGTTCTTCTTGTTTTCTATTATTATTAGTCGTGCATTATAGAATTTTCCTTTCCTTTCATATATATATTGGAATTCTTTCTCTCGTTCTGTTCTTCTTTTTGTCATATTGTTCTATGCGTTTTCATTTCTTTATTCATCGTTTATAGGATTTTCCATTAAGAATTATCCTCATGTTTTATTCAACAAGTAACGCTCGACTGCGTGATTCGCTTGACCCTCGACCGAATATTTGACTGCTTTGGTATTTTCACTGTTACACATCTCTTTCATAAGCTAGAAACTGACATATGTATTCGGGCCATACAGATTTAGTTTGGGTATTACTCGTAGGGTATCAGTTTAGTTGAATGAGTGGTATGGCAAGCATTATCCCAAGAATGCGTTTGGCTTTCCATACGCCGAC